CTGACTCAGTTGGTAGCACTCTGAGTCAGAAGGTTGGGGTAACAACCTGAGTCAGAAGGTTGTTCAAGCTCCACAAATAGGACTTTGGATTTCATAGTCTAGGTCTAGGCTAATACTTCAATACAGTGCTGGGGGAGCTCTGGATTGTCTGAGGTGCTGTCCTTTGGATGATAAATCAAATTGAGGTTGTGTCTGCCTGTTAAGGTGGGACATCAAGTATTCCAAAGGAGAAGGGAGCTTTTTCTGGGTCCCGGCCAGAAATCTCCCAGATAAAGTTGGTAGTCACTTTTTAGCTGTCTGTAGATATTGCAGTGTTCAAATTGGCTGTTGCATTCACTTACAAATACAGTCACTACACTATACAGAAAACTCTGAAGCACTGAGTCATTTTGACAAAGTGCCATATCAAATACATGGGTTGTTATTATTAAGTGTATATCTATTGTAATTGCATCAGTGCTAATCCAATATTGAATGAGCTGTTGGGAAAAATCAATGGAATGATGTTCAGATCCAACCATTGTTGCGTATTGTATACAATGTGTCTGCCATGTAGAAATCAGTCACCATGCTTTAATGTATCCAAGCCAATAACATATGTATGCCATTTATCTATGGAGATATCCCTGTGTCTGTAATGGAACACACACTCTCCCCCGAGTGGGATGCACCCTGCTTACCTAATTCGGTAAATTAATTGACACTAGATGGCAAGAGTTAAGGCTTAAAGATCCTAGAGTGTACATTGGGCTAAGTTTAATCAACTTGAATCACGTAGCTTGCCACTGCAAGCACTTTTTGGCCAGCTTCCCACTGCTCTTCCAGCTAGAACAAACCTGTTAGGGCTTTGGCTTGCAGGAACTGAGTGGGAAGAATCTCTGCCCCCAGGAATTGGTCTGTCTTTTCAAGTCCTGCCAACAAGCCAGGCTCAGCAGTGGCTTGGAGTCCTGCAGAAGTGCCCGGTTCAGGAAATAGACCACTTCCACATAACTTGAGTCATAGAAGACAAGAGGTAATTCATTAGAATGTCATCAAGTATGAGAGGCTTTACTTTGTGAAGAGACCAGAGAGTGTTTTCACGAGAACAGAAATTTTAAGAGGAGACCTGTGAGAGGTGTTCAAAATTCTGAGGGATTTTTGACAAGGTGAATAGGGAGAAGCTTTCCACTTCTCAGCAAGTTGGCGAAGAAAGAACATCCTCTTCACTCCTTCCTCTCCGGCCACAGCATGGAAGTAGCGCTGGTCAAGGTGACAAATGACATTCTGTCCATCTGTGACTAGGACTCCCTCTGTCCTCTTATCTTCCTTGATCTCTCTGCTGCTTTTGACACTGTTGACCATTCTGTCTTCCTCCACCGCCTCCTCTTATCTCAACCTTCAAGGTTCTGTCCTTCAATGGTTCACATCCTATCTCTTACACCGGCTCCACTTTGTCTTCACAAACAGCTTCTCCTCCAGCCCAAGCACAGTCTTGTGCAGTGTGCCTCAGGACTCTGTCCTTGGTCCTCTCCTCTTCAACCTGTACATGCTTCCTTTTGGTGACATCATCTGCAGACATGGGGTCAACTTCCCCATGTATGTGGATGACACCCAACTCTATCTCTCTGCCTCCTCCCTCGACTCCAGGACCACTGCTGTCCTGACAGACTGTCTGTCAGACATCAAGCCCTGGATGTGAGCCATTATCAAATACTACAGATTTGCCCATGCACCAGTTTAATCGGTAATAGTCGCAATCACAATAGAATTGTGGGGTGCAATACAATAGCTAAATTAGAAGCTCATAATCAATAACATTCAAACAATTTCCCAGATTGTCTTGCAATCCAGCCAAATATGCAACACAAGATATTCATTGCAAAAATCAATCTCAGTCAAAGCAGTTCACTTCCAGTAATACTGTCAACCAACTAAGGCGCTGCAAATCAATAATATGAGACCTTGCTACCACCACAGCAATCCGTAATGCTTTGTAAGAAATTGTCAGCAATGTTTACAAAAACTGCTCAGTCTATATTAAATGGCATTGCACTCCAAGTAGCATTGGTCAGAAGTGTTTTGATATTTTGTATGTAGAGACACTACAGCTATATTCTTATTGTCAATTCTTATGTGGCTTTAATAATCTAATGTTTGCATTCATAATCCTTGATATAGCGCCTTATCATTTCATTGAGATATCTCAAAGTGTTTCACAGAATATACTGTGAAGTGAATTGACTATATATTTTGTTAGAATTTACACTTTTTGTATAATGTTGGAACCATAATAGATGTTGCGAACGGGTTAACTTTTAAGTTAAGTGTGGGGGGGGCAACTGGACTGAAACTCATGAGTTTCCCAGGATCACGTGAGTGTCTCAAGGATAAGATGTGTACTACTGCCCTGCAAGTACACAAGATAACGGACTGTCTCAAAGACAGTGTGTTTGTGTGTGTGAGGCACGTACACTCCATGAGATGTTCACGTGAACCCAGCATGATTTTGGCCAGGTGACCTAATGTCCGCACCATGATTGGATGGACACAAACTTAAGACACCGTCCCAGACCAAGATCGCGCGCCCAGGACAGTACCTACCGTGGATGGAAGACTGAGAGCTAGAAGGCAGAAGTAGACGACCACGAGGAGAGATTACGCGGTACTATTGTTCTGTTAGTGAATCTATTGATTGTGCTTACTTGCCCACGCCCATCGGGAACTTGGACGGATCCTGGAGTTTAATAAACACTACTCTGGTTGCAAACAGTGGTTGTGTTTGATTGGAACTCGAAAAGTTTTTTCCTTAACAATTTTGTGGGTGAATTCATAGTCAATTCACTTTATATATATTCTGTGAAACGCTTTGAGACGTCTCAACGACGTGATAAAGTGCTAGATCAAATGCAAGAATTATAAATTTAATGGTATTGCTGTCCTTGTGAGCTAAGTATTAATGTTCCAAAATATGTATTGAATACTGTGAATGCCATTAAACTGTAATGTTAATTGTGGTATTGTTTTCATAAAATTATATGAATTCTATTCTTTGTAAGATTTGTCTTCAAATGTGCTTAGACCAGGGAACTAGATTTTCATTGCTCCAATGATACATTTTAATTGTAGTGTATAGAGAGCGATCCCGATATACCGCAGTCATGATCACATTTCTAGCCAACTGATCCATGCTGGAAACCAGAAGTGTACAACACTTGTAGTAACCGCCAATTCACAGGAGACTCGGGTTAAAAGCATACTTGGGCTCTGGCAAGGAACTTCATTATGGAGTTGGTCCCCTCAGTGTACTAGTACATTTGTGTACCATTAATGAGTTCATCCTTGCTTTAAGACTAACTGGTGAAGTGCAACCAGCTCGACAATCATAGGGAAAGATATACAGCAAGAAGGTCACACCAACCATCAATTTAAGGCTATGAATGTGGAGGAGCATATTTATAATGGATCTCCACTGCATTAAATCTATGTGTTCCAGTTGTTCACTCATAAGACAAGTCAAAGCTGCTCTCAACTGCATCATTTCCATCTCTCATTATTGTAAAATCCTGAATGATATCATCCTGAATCTTTTCTCCAGTGAAACAGATTCAGCTCTATCCGTTTCTCCTCATAACTAAGGCCGAACTCTTCAATGCATTCTTGTTGCTTTTCTGACAACTCCAACATGTCAATGCCCTTATAAAGACCAAGGATGCTTAAAACTATTCATAGTATTCCAAATGTGACTTCACTGCAGCTCTATACAAGGTTGGAATAAGTTCTTTAGGCTTACTGTCAAAAGCATTGGAGCCATAATATAGTATTTCATTTTCTTTCAAGGAAGTTCATGGTTGACTGGAATACATCAATGGAGGATCAATAAAGTAATTGTACTTAAATTCTTTTCTTTCCACACCTGCGTTAATGGATTTGTTTAAGGCTGCCAAATGCAATTCACATTAGAACATAAGAATTAGGAGCAGGAGTAGGCCATTCGGCCCCTCTAGACTGCCCCGCTATTCAATAAGATCATGGCTGATCTACTCTAACTCCACCTACCCACCTTATCCCTATATCCCTTAATCGCTTTATCTGCAAGAAATCTATCAATCTACATTAAACCATATGCATACAACTGCAGCAGTACTTCTGCAGGTCAATAGTGAGGGACTTGCAGTCCATCAGCCAATGCTTGATCAATTCAACTTGTGAATTCACCTTCAGACAATTATCCAGTATAAAAGTCAATTGCCATTTCAACCATCCCTCCAAATTCAAACCAGACAAATATCAGATCAGCCAAATAACCAATAATATTACCCTTTTACTTAATAGGCATAAGTGGGAGTGATGACACTACCAACAATGCAGCACGTCCCGATCACTGCATTGCAATATCAACAACAACAACAAAATTACATTTATATCGCGCCTTTCATATCGGGATGATGTCCCAAGGCACTGGATAACCAGTGTTTCAGACCCGAGCTGGGGGTCGGGATCGGGAAGGGTGGAGGGCAGGGTGGAGGAAGGAAGGTGACCAAAGGCATGGTCAAAGAGGGTCTTGAAATGGGTCTTGAAGGAGACAAGGGTGAGGCAGTGGATGGAGTTCCAGAGGGTGAGGGCAAAGTGGCTGAAGGCCTGCCTGCCAATGATGGGGTGGGCGAGGGTGGAGACTTGAAGCAGTCAAGAACCCACTGAGCGGAGGGAGCAGGCAGGTTGGTAGGGGCTTAAGGAGGTCGCAGAGGTAAGGGAGAGAAAGGCCATGGAGGGCCTTGCATTTATATATCATCCCGAAGCATATCAACTTAAACTATATGAGTTCAAAGACCCAAACTTCCAACTCAGAGGTGGGAGTAATGGAGGATTGGGACAGGCGAGAATGCTATAAACTGATCCAGGCTGACACACAAAATTATTATAATTAAAACTGGAGCAATATTTCCCATGATCTTTTGCACAGATGATAGCACATTCCAATTAAAGTACATGGCACAACAAAAAAAGACAAAAGATTTACTTACCAATGAAGCCAGAGGATGGAGGGTTTGGTTGGATCTTTTCCTGAGTGTTCTCCTGGATTATGTCCCAAAGCTGCCAGAGGAATCTTGGATGAAGAATGTAAAAGGGCTGGGCTGGGTTCCTTCTTCGATATCTCAAATAAGGTGTGAACAGATTGTAATCTGGTTTCTTATACCACTGTAAAGCAAATGGGGTGCACATTAAAAAAAAAACTAAATTTTAGGGATGCAACATTATTTACAGGAATTAGCCCTCTCTTTAATTTTAGACATTATAAAGCAAAGTGATGAATTATTTATTCCAGTATCAGAATACAGGGAGATCCACATTGGTAGAGGGGCCCAAAAAATAAGGTTAGCTGTCACAATTAACAGAAAACCTTTCTTCACACAAAGAGTTGTGAGAATGTGAAATCCAATGCCCCAGCATACTGTAGATGCACAATGAATTGGGATGTTTAAAAGGAATATTAAGGTATTAGAGAAACTTATGTCAGCATGGCTCAGTTGGTTGCACTCTTACTTCTGAGTCAAAAGTTTGTGGGATCTAACTCCAATTGGGACTTGGAACTCATATAATCTAAATTGACACTCCAATGTAGTGTTGTGGGTGTGCTGCATTGTCAAGGGTGCCAACTATTCAAAAAGAAAAGAGTTTTCCAGTGTCCTGGTCTACAATCCCTCAAATAAAATTAGTCATTTGTTTCATTGCTGTTTGTGGGACATTGCTGTGTGCAAATAAATTGGCTGCTGCGTTCGTCCCTACAAAACTCAGTCACTGCACTTTATAGTTTAGCTTGTGAAGCACTTTAAGACCTCCACCTGATGTGAAAGGTGCCATACCAAATAGGATTATTATTAATGATAATAATCTTTACATTGTTATTGATAGTCAATCAAAGAGAGTTCCATATATGTATTCAAGTTACACATGGAATGTTGTAGGTGGCTTACATATGTGGAACTGTGGTGTGAATATTTTTAAGCATGATAATGTGACAATTAACAGCCAGCTGATCAAAAAACAGACACCTTTCTCCATATCCTTCCACCACCTCCATATCCTGGGTTGGAGAAAGAGCTGGGGAAATGAAATTTAAAAATCTTCTGAGACCTAATAAAATGGGGGGATCATGCTTGATGAGTTGAAAGACCTAATCCTGTTCCTATGTAACTAGAAAATATTACCATGATTTGGACTGCAAAATTGAAGAGGAACCAGTATTAGGTATTGGTGCTGCACAGCAGATGCCCAAGAATAGGCAGCTCTTGGCTGAAATCTATCAGTGTTTACTGATGATTTGTCTGCGACTCCAGGTCCGCTGATATTCTGTCAGTTTGTCTGGCAGACATCAGTGCTTGGATGAGTGCAAACTTCTTGCAACTAAATATTGACAAGATGGAAGCCATACTCCTTGGCTCCCATCAACGTCTTCTGTCCTGCGGCTCTGACCTCCTCAACCTCCCCCGGTCTATCCCTCAGACTCACCGAACCGGTTTGCAACCCACAGCTGTCCTTCCCCACATCCGGTCCCTGACCAGGACTGCCTTCCTCCATCTCCGTCACATTGCCTGCCTTGGATCATACCTTACCCCAGACACAGCCATCACTTCGAGACTCAACGTTTCAAATACTCTCTTCGGCCCAGCTCCACCCAGCACAGGATCCAGCTGATCCAAAACTCATCCCCATACTCACCCACACTAAACCCCCTAACAATTTAGTCTCGTACAATAAAAGTCAATTCACTTTACGGTGTATTCTGTGAAGCTCTTTGAGACATCTTGATGATGTGATAAGGCGCTATATCAATGCAAATATTATTATTATTATTAATAATAAAGAGTGGCTGTCTTTTCCAGATCAGCTAGAGTGGCAGATGTGACAGTGAGCTTATCTCACCAGTCATTGTTGGCAGCCTCTGAACACAAGCACACATAAGGTCTTGATCTGATAGGAATATGCAGCTGCTGTCTGCTCAGCTTGGCCACATTGATACCATTATGAGGGACGTTAATGAGCTACTCTGCTAAGAAATTGAAATGATAAAAGTACATTTTATCATTTCTGTAGCTCAGTGGTTAGAGCACTTGCCTTGCAAGTGAAAGACCTAGGTTTAATTTCCAGCAGGGAGAAATGTTGGGTAAGCTTTCTTACTACTGCTGTGCTTAGCTGCCTCATTTTGCCCACAAAATATAGTCAATTCACTTTACAGTGTATTCTGTGAAGCGCTTTGAGATGTCTCGAGGACTTTGATAAAGTGCTATATCAAATGCAAGGATTATTATCATTTTGTATTGGAATCAGCAGCAATTGTCTATCATGCAAATACAACAAACACTGCCTTTATAATATAAGAATATTTCTTGTAATTATATATTTATTATTCCTCCCTTTGAGTATTATTTCTTACAGAAGCAAACCACTAACATCATTAATTGTGCCTCTTCCAGATCAGCACTTTAAAATAGTCAATACTTTATTAGGATTGCAAGAATGGATCCATTACTGTGAATTGCTCTGAGACGCTGTCCGGCGTGGAGGACGCTATATAAATCCAAGTTGTTGTTGTTGTTTCAACATGATTCACTGTGGATGCACACAGCAAGCCCACACCACACGCCAGTAGCTTTCTTACTAAAATGGCTGACATCCGGGTTATTAGCTTGTCACTATTGGCATCTCCTGCATCATGTGCACAAGAAATGGTGTCAGAGGAAATCTGATAACCCAGATATTGGCCTTTTTTTAAGCTCAGGAACCAACCAGTGAGCAGCAAGTGAGCTCACTACAGGTATAGTGAAACCAGCTTTCAGACTATCCTGCAAGTGTGGTTTGCGAATTTATGGATCTAACCATCACATTATAATGAGGCCTCACTGTATCGTGTGAGCTATAATGCCTTCAACAGGCAGATAAGGTCTTGATCTAATGTCTCTTCCAAAGCACAGCTGTTCTTCCCTGCACTGCATAAGCTCAAACTCCTACTGTGGTCTTGAACCCACAACCTTCTGACTCAGACACCCACTTGCACGGTTTCAACAGGCTTAGAACATGGAGATGAAAAAGAATTGCTGGGGATCCCATCCTTTGGATAAGATGTTAAACCAAGGTCCCCTTTGTCTGTTCAGGTCAACGTTAAAGATACTATGCCAATATTCGAGAAAGAGAATGGGATTTCTCTCACAGTCCTGGCCAACATCCTGGGGGATTGAGTTCCAGAGCCTAGGGGCTGAGAGACTGAAGGCCCGGCCATCGATGGTAGGGCGGTTGGGGCGGGGGATGTGGAGCAGACCGGAGCCAGAGGAACGGAGGGTACGGGCGGGTAAGTAGGGGGATAGTAGGTCAGAGAGGTAGGAGGGAGCGAGGCCGTGAATGGCCTTGTAGGTGAGGATGAGGATCTTGAATTCGATCCTCTGGGGGATGGGGAGCCAGTGGAGGCGAGCGAGGGTGGGAGTGATGTGGTCGCGAAGCCTGGTGCGGGACAGTACACGAGCTGCAGAGTTCTGAATGACCTGCAGCTTGTGGAGGGAGGTGCCGGGAAGGCCGGCGAGGAGAGAGTTCCCATAGTCCAGCCTTGAGGTGATAAAGGCGTGGACCAGAGTTTCAGCAGCGTGAGGGGTGAGGTAGTGCCGTAGTCTGGCGATGTTTCGGAGGTGATGGAAGGCGGTGGCAGTTGTGGCGCGGATATGAGGGAGAAAGGACAGCTCAGGGTCGAACAGAACACCGAGGTTCCTGACTGGCTTTGAGAGGTGGAGAGTGCAGCCTTGGATGCTGATGCTGTCAGCGCCTGAGGTGCGGAGGCGCTGACGTGAGCCAATCAGGAGGGCCTCAGTTTTGCGGACGTTGAGCTGAAGAAAGTTGTCTCTCGTCCAGGACTCGATGTCGGACAGGCAGGCTGTCAGGACATCGGTGGTCGTGGAGTTGAGGGTAGAGGAGGAAAGGTAGAGTTGGGTGTCATCCGCATACATGTGGAAGTTAACCCCATGTCTGCGGATGATGTCACCAAGGGGGAGCATATAGAGGGTGAAGAGGAGGGGACCGAAGACAGAGCCCTGAGGGACACCGCACGAGACAGTGCGGGGCTGGAGGAAAAGCCGTTCGTGGAAACAAGGTGAAGACGGTGGGAGAGGTACGACCTAAACCACTCAAGGACAGGGCCTTGAAGGTTGAGGTGGGAGGACAAGCGGTGGAGGATGATAGCGTGGTCGACCGTATCGAATGCTGCCGATAGGTCGAGGAGGACGAGGAGGCAGAGGGAGCCCTGGTCACAGATGGTCAGGATGTCATTGGTGACCTTGACCAGGGCAGTTTCTGTGCTATGGGCAGCACGGAAACCCGACTGAAGGGGTTCGAATAATGAATGGGTGGAGAGGAAAGAGCACAGCTGGGAGGCGACAACTGTTCAAGGACCTTGGACAGGAAGGGGAGGTTGGAGATGGGCCGGTAGCTTGATAGCTGCGACGCATCAAGGGAGGGTTTTTTCAAGGTGGGAGTGATGGTGGCAGTTTTTAAGGGAATGGGAACAGAGCCAGAGGAGAGGGACAGGTTGACGATGTCTGTGATATGTGGGGCAAGGAGGTGGAGCTGGGAGATAAGGAGTGGAGTGGGGATGGGGTCAAGGGAGCAGGTGGTGGGTTTCAGGGATAGGATGAGTTTGGTGACAGAGGGTGGGGAAACGGGTACGAAAGTGTGTAGGGGAGGATGGGTAGGAGTCGGAGTGTGAGGCGGGGGGTGGGTGAAGGTTGGAGGGGAAGTGACCGTGGAGCAGATTCCCTTGATTTTGGATTCAAGGAAATCCAGCATCTCCTCACAGTGACGGTTGGAGGAGATGACCTGCGCAGGGTGGCGGGGGGACGACGAAGGAGTCGGGATGTGGTAGAAAACAGAAGCCTGGGGTTGTTCTTCGCCTCCAGGATTATCCTGGAGTAGAAGGAGGACTTGGCCGAGGCTAGAGTGGAGCGGTAGATTTTGAGGAGGTCCAGCCAGATTTGTCGGTGGACCGTTAGGCCAGATTTGAGGCAGGTGCGTTCAGCGGCCCACACCTGGCTCTTCAGTGAGCGGAGGTGGGTGGTGAACCAGGGGGAGGAGCGAGAGTAGGAGACAGTACGGGAGGTGATGGGGGCAAGAGTGTTGAGTGTGGAGCAGAGGTGTTGTGGAGGAGGGTGAGAGGAGAAGAGGGGTCAGTGAGGGTTGAAGGCCAGAGGGAGAGGAGTTCAGAGGACTCCAAGGCAGCGGTTAGGGATTGTGGGGGTAACTTCTTCCAGGGGCGGTAGAAGATGGTGGTGGGTCTGGTGGAGGTGGGGAGGGGGGTGGAGGTGGTGAAGGAGATGAAGTGGTGATCGGAGACGGCCTTGTCGGTGATAGTGACATCCGAGACACTGAGGCCCCGGGTGATCACCAAATCGAGTGGGTGGCCGTGACTGTGAGTGGGGGAGTTGATGTGGAGGGAGAGGTTGAGCGAGGAGAGCAGGGAAGAGAAGTCCGAGGAGATGGAGCAGGAGGGGGTGAAGTGCAGGTTGAAGTCGCCCAGGATGATGAGGCGATCAGAGCAGAGGCAGAGAGATGTTAGTAGGGTAGAAATATCGGAGATGAAGTTGGGAAAGGTTTTAGGGGGCCGGTAAAGGAGGAGGATTTTGAGCGAGAGGAAGGAGGGGTGGGAGAGGGTGAGGTGCTCGAAAGAGGGGAAAAAGCCAGAGGAGTAGAGGGATAGGGCAAGTGGTATCCTTGAGATAAGGGCTACACCACCGCCACGGCGGTTGGGGCGAGGGATGTGGTGGGAGGTGTAGCCGGGTGGTGTGGCCTCCGTGAGGGGGAAGGTGTCACCTGGGGTGAGCCAGGTTTCCGTTAAGGCCATGATGTCAACGTTCTCATCAAGGATGAGATCGTTGATGACCAGGGCCTTGTTACAGACAAGGAGCGGACGTTTTGTAGTCCGATGTGGAGGGAGCGGTTGACAGAAGGGTGTGTGGGGGGGGGGTAAGGGGGGTCCAGGTTGTGAGGCAGGGGTGGGGGAAATGGGGATGAGAGGTTGGCTCCCCGGGTCTGTGACCGGGGTGGCTGGCGAGTGTGGTGGGGAATGGGGCAGTCGGTGTGGCTGCTGCTGGACAGCCAAAGCCGAGTGCCACGGTGAGCCTGGCGGAGGATTCCCAGGCTGGAGCAGAGGGAGGTTGTGGGAGGGTCAAGTGGGGATAGAAGGCGAGAGAGACGGAGAGAGAGGAGGACAGAGCGGGAGAGATGCAGAGGGGGAAGGGTTTGGGGGTAGAGAGGAGGGGGGAGGGAGAGAGGGGCTGAGGGGGCTCGGGTCAAAGCGGCAGCCATAGTTCGCATGTGGGGACCGGGAGCGAGCGGTCAGGTGGATGGCATTAGCCCATAGGCTGGGGTTGGGGCAGCCAACCCAACAGGACCATGGTGGGCTCTGATGTGAGCCCTGGGGGTGGGGGCGGGGGAGAGTTGACGCAGAGTTTTTTTTTTACAGCACCCTGTATTATGATGCAAGTTTATAATCTTTACATCTGATATAATGCCTTTCACATGAGGAGGACCATCAAATTTGCGCCATAAATACACAAGCAGCCCAAAATGCTAATTTTATTGCTGAGTTACTGTAGTTAGGGGCAGGTAAAATAATTTGCATTTCCAAACAAGGCATGTCTTTAGGGAATTGAAGATGATATGACCAAGTTAATAAGCACCTTCAACACTGCTGGGAGTAACCAGGAGAGTCATGTGGAGCTGGAAGCAGTCGTTCTTTATCACATTATCAGGGGCATTTTTCAGAGACTGTTCAATCCCACTTATCTTCACTGTAAGGAAGATATTTTAAGCAGGGGTCTCCAACCAGTCAATCACTGCTAGATGGCACTCTCACACGATCAAAAAAATAAGAAAGGCGTGATAGAACTGCGTTATTGAGTCCAATTAAAAACAAAGCCAGATGCACAAAGTATGTCATGCGTTGCAAAGTAAAAATATAAATTTTAATGTTTAAACTACTGTAAATATTGTTCCTTCCTCTTTTTGTTATCGAGTATGCACGAGATGCCACCTAGTGGCGATCGATTAGTTGGAGAACCCTGTTTTAAGGCATGTTAATCCTTTCATCAACTTCAAAAGGGCAGAGGACAATTCAAGACCAAAGAAATTTGTAAGAACCGATTCCAAAGTAAAGCTGGTAATTTTCCACAATTCTGCACAATTTTAACGTAGAATACAGGGAGAGAGTGCGCATTCCATTCCAATAATCTATCTCTGGAATTTCCATCTGTATGTGGGATGCATGGAATTCTCAGTTTGGTTTGGATACTCTTAAGGTTTCCGCATGTTTAAGACACCCAGCCGAGCAAACGAAAATACAATAATTAAGGTCTAAAACCATGAGAAATGTTAGACCTCTGGGAAACTGGAAATAACCCATCAGAAATGTCAGTTTCAGTCCCACTTACCTTAATGAGATTTATGGAGTAAGGCGCAGGATCCCAGACCACTAAAATAATATTCTTGTACAGAGCATTATTAATAAAGTTGTGTTTTGAGTTTGCAAGTATCTGAAAAATAAGATGCAAACAATTTTTTAAATTTTTTTAATAAAATTGATCATTATTCTACAAAAACAGTTTCAATTTGGCAACACGAGGCACCACACAAATACTTACAAATGGGATGAGATTATACATTGGAGTTCATAAATCTATATGAAACAAATCTAAATTATATTAATGGAGAAAAGTAATGACACAGGCTGTATAAATTAATTATTTTTAGGAGAATGGATATGCTAAATGATCAATTTATTTAGAGCTGTAAATCAGATTATGCCACACACACCTCTATTTCTTCGCAACTCACAAAAGCAAACATTTCATTAAAATGTGTTACTGATGGGAAATCTCCATTGCGAAAAAGCACAAGACATTTAATCAATATGGCACTTTGCATTGTAGCGCATGCCAAATACCTTCAATCTAACTTTAAATAGGACTTATAGTATTTATATAGCGCCCTTCACACAGGAAAGCGTCCCAAAACCAACACCTTGCATTTGACATATGGTCTTATAGGTCAGGAGGACCCCTCCCAGAATTTCATGGTAAAGTGTATCAAGTATCAGAATTAAGTCAATCCTCTGTGGTGGTCTCAGTTGTCCAGTTCCAAAGTCAGACATATCCAGGGAACTGGTGCGCTCTAAGATTCTCGCCTGACTGAAGAGCACTATAAAGAGCCAAGCTGTTGTTGCTATTTTTGACAGACCAATCACCCTGGCTCATTGGCAGAACATAGAGGAGCAGTCCAGTCACTGGTACCAAGGATTCTTCCCACCCAGCCCCTATTAATCCTGCAAGCCAATTCCTAATGGCTAGTGTGGGCCTTGCTGGACAAGCAGTGGGAAGCTTGCAAGACAGGGCTTTCAATGACAAGCTATTTAGGGTTAAGCTAGTTAAACTCCAGCAGTACCCCAACACACGCTCTGGGATTCCCAAACTAACCTCATCTTAATATGCTCTGGGATTAGGTGAGCAAACAAACAAAATTACATTTATAAAGTGCCTTTCACATCGGAAGGACATCCCAAAGCACTGAACAGTCAGGTGTTGGGGGCCGAACATGGGGGAGGGTTGGTGTAGGGGTGAGTGAAGGCAGAGAGGTGGGAGGGCGACCAAAGGCACAATCGAAGAGAAGGGTCTTGAGACCGGTCTTGAAGGAGGCAAGAGAGGAAGCGAGGCGAAGTGACCGTGGGATGCAGTTCCAGAGTGTGGGGGGGCAGAGAGCCTGAAAGCCCGGCCACTGATGGTAGGGCGGGTTGGACGGGAGACATGGAGCAGGCCGGAGCCCACTGAACGGAGGGAGCGGGCAGGTTGGTAGGGAGTCAGCAGGTCAGAGAGGTAGGAGGGGGCAAGGCCATGGATGGCCTTAAAGGTGAGGACGAGGATCTTGAACTCGATCCCCTGGGGATGGGGAGCCAGTGGAGTTGGGCGAGGGTGGGAGTGATGGGGTCGCGGAGCCTGGTGAGCGAGAGTACACGAGCTGTAGAGTTTTGGATGATCTGCAGCTTGTGAAGGGAAGAGTTGGGAAGGCCTGACGAGGAGGGAGTTCCCGTAATCGAGCCTTGATGTCACGAATGTGTGGGTTAGGGTTTCGGCAGCCTGAGGGGTGAGGCAGTGGCAGAGTCTGCCAATGTTGCGGAGGTGGTGTTAGGCAGTGCCGGTCATGGCGCGGATGAGGGGGAGAAAGGACAGTTCCGGGTCAAACAAGATACCCAAGTTCCTGACTGGCTTAGTGAGGTTGAGTGTGCAGCCATGGAAGCTGATGCTGCCAGCGCCTGAGGTGCGGAGGCGCTGGCGCGAGCCAATCAGGAGGGCCTCAATCTTGCTGACGTTGAGTTGGAAAAAGTTGGCCCTCGTCCAGGACTTGATGTCGGACGGGCAGTCGGTCAGGACACCAGTAGTCCTGGAGTTCAGGTTGGAAGCAGAGAGACAGAGTTGGGTGTCATCTGCAGACATGTGGAAATTTACCCCATGTCTGGGGATGATGTCACCAAGGGGGAGCATGTAGAGGGTGAAGAGGAGGGGACCGAGGACAGAGCCCTGAGGAACACCGAACGAGAAAGTGCGGGGGCTGGAGGAAAAGTTGTTTGCCGTGACGAAGTGGAGGCAGTGTGAAAGTAGGACCTGAACCAGTCAAGGACCGAACCTTGAAGGTTGCGGTGGGAGGAGAGGCGGTGGAGGAGGATTGAGTGGTCCATGGTGTCGAAGGTGGCGGAGAGGTCGAGGAGGATGAGGAAGCAGAGGGAACCCTGGTCACACATTGTCAGGATGTCATTTTGACCTTGACCAGACCAGTTTCTGTGCTGTAGGCAGCACAGAAAGCCGATTGGAGGGGATCATGGAGAGAGTGAGAGGAGCAGGATGCTTCCATCCAGGAAGAGAGTGCACATTCCATTCCAGATACAGGGATATTCCCACGTGTAGGTGGAACATGTATGTGGCATTCTACATTTGGTTTGTTTTCTGTTAAGAAGCTGATGAATTTTAGCATGTGTCAAACACTTGGCTGACCAAAAAAAGTGTAGTGGCTGTATTTTGTAGTAGAATTTAAACAATCTGCAGAACCTGTATGCAACAACCTGCAGAATAAAAAGTTATTTGAGTCAAAGCTCTTCTAAAATATGCAACCAGGGTGAAAAATACACAATGCAATATCGCATTTTTCACCACTTTTGTTTCCAGAAGCCCACTGATCTTGCTCTTTCCTTCATAACCTCTCCAGTGCGCTCAATCCATAAATTAATCAGAAATGAATGAAATATTCCAATAACAGTACAGACCATAACAAAAGAGCAACAGAGTGGTAGGTGTAAGATTAAGAGGGGTTACTTTTCTTAGGAGCAGGATCAATGTTAGCAAATTGCCAAGTGGAAAGGTCTGGGAAGAAGAGAGGCTGAATAGATAGTTTAAAGCAGATTATTGAAGGGAGGTTCTTTGATAAATTCACCAAGATGAGAGTTGGAGAAGAGGTCAGACCACAGATAATACAATACAATTTAAAAGAGAAAAGTGTATGGGAAATTGTATGGAGGAAGTTTGGGAAAGAAACTAAATGTGTGAGGAACAGTAGATGATATGAAAATGAACAAGAATGCAAAGCATAGAATACAACAACAAAATTACATTTGTATAGCGTCTTTCACATCAGAAGTACGTCCCAAGGCGCTGGAATAGAGATTAGAGAAGATGTCAACATTTTACAGACACAAGGAACAAAGTGGAATAGGAACTAACTGGGGTCAGTCTCCAATGGAGTGTTACAGGGCTCCATCAGGTCTCCTACTGTTTGCAATATTCATCAACAATATTTAGGCAGTAGAACCCCATTATAAGGCTGACCCTATAATGCTGGTTTGCCTATACCTAATAGTGAGTCCTACCAACTGAGCCACATTACATCACAATGAACCCTGCCCTTAAACAAGCTAAACTGAAAGAAAAATAATGTGTAGATTCACTCACTTGAGAGTTGAGAATCCGGATAGTGGTTTTGCTTCCAACATCTTGCTCGTAAAGTTTTGTTGGGGCTGCATTGAATCTCATAACTGCATCATGGGAATCTAAGAGGGGAGAAAAATAGCTCTTACGCCCATCTTTTCAAAAGGTAATGAGAGCCAAACTGTAGTCCACTACTTTATATGACTCTGTCCTCAGAGAATCTCAAGCAACTGTTACTCTCAGGTTCAATTCCATTTGGAGGCAAGTCTCTGAAGCAATGAAAAATCGACATGGTCTTAGCCTGCAAGACTATTTTATCTTAATTAAAGATTGCACAGAAAATTACTTAAAATCTCAGGCTTAATTTTCAAGCCAGTTTTTAAACAGATCCCAAAAAGATTTACCTTAATTCAAAAGCTGTATCATTTTAAAAAACTGCAGAAAACCAAATTGCAAATTAAGACCAAGTTTGCAAACCTTCCTCAATCTTAAATTTTAAGAGACAATTGCCTTCTAGGCCTTGGATGTGTAGGTTCTACATTGGGGACAGTGCACCAAAAATATTCGCACAAATCACTTCACTGCCACATTAATTGGGATGTATTGACAAGAATCAATGTGTTTCATTGCTTCGATTGACTTTATTTAATAAGCACTATCTGTACAGAACTAAAATAGTGTCTCACTAGCTTGATGTCTGAAAATACATTATAAACAGTTATAAAGTAGTCAATGTAGACATTCTGGGAGAAAATTAACACAATTGGTAGAAAACATTCAGATTTTTATTCTGTAATTTCCTTGTTAGATTCACTGAGAATAGCTGGCAAAGTCAGCGAGTGTCTCAATGTGAAAACTAACAATGATGAACACAGATGAAAATATGAATACCAGCCAGAAAAGTTTTTTTCCCACTTGACAAACGTGTTAGATTGATGAATACTTGAGTGAAGAGTGAATGCGGGGGAAAGAGCAGGGCTATGGGAATAAAGCAGATTGCTCCAGTCAGAGAGCTGGCACCAGCATCGACACATTGGCATGAATAGTCTCTTTCTATGCCATAAACTTTCAACAATTCTTTTGACAGTTTTCCAACAGAAAATGTTCCCCCTTAAGAACAATGCAGGGCATTGCCATCTTTGTATCTCTGGTACTGTCCAAAACGCAAAGCCTAACTTATCCTCACGGCCACTTTCTCATGGATTAAATAATAATCGTTGCATTTGATATAGTGCCTTATCATGTCTTCGAGAAGTCTCAAAGTGGTTCACAGAATATACTCTTTAAGTGAATTGACTGTATATTTTGTGAGTGAAATGTGGCAGCCAATTGCGCACAGCAGTGTCCGACAAGCAATCATGGAGTGAAGTGACCAAATTATTATTATTATTGTTTTTGAAGGGATTATTACCCCTGGAAAATTGATCTGGCAATTGACAAACAACCGGGTTCCTACTTACTACCTCCTCCTAGATAAACAGAGGTGTGTGTACAGTAAGCAAACTTGCTCAACATTTCGCCTTGCCGGGAATCAAATTCAGGTCTCTCGCTTGTGAGGTGAGTGCTCTAACCATTGAGCTACATAAACTCATCATCCATGAGGTCAACTCATGGCACATGCACTTGGTTCCAAGTGAACTAAGTACAGAGCTGTATAGTTGATAGTGGCAATGCCAGTTGTAGTGAATAGTTGTGTTCTTCAATACAAAAAGGAATGACCAATTCTTGCCTATTATGAAGGGTTAATTAAAAATTGACCTTTGGAAGCAGTTACAAAATTTTCATCTTTTCATTTTGCACATGGCAGAATAAAGGTCCCACAGTTTTTCTTGTGATGATTCAATAAACAAGAGATTTACTCTTTAGAATCATTCTTTCAGAGTTGGATTTGATATCTGTTTTGAATGATTTTGCCTTGATTTTTCCAGTTCAATATATGTTACGTCTCGCATCACACCTGATGTATGCGATAATGTCTCAAAACACACCTTGCAATTGTCATCCCCCCATTTGTTTCAATACCATTGGTACAATCACTGCAGTATCATTAGCATTAATTTATCTTCACTTCATAAAATACAATTAGACAACAATAATTGCAATGGCCCAAGTGGTATTACAATACAAACCTTCTCAGATGATCTAACCTCTAAAAACAACACTTTCTCTTTAGTTGGTCAAGTGATTAGGGTGGTTTTGCCTCCAAATATATGGGAGATGCTTTCACTGAAACTTTCCAGCAAGTCCAAATGAAAAGGCAGGAATCAGCCTCCTTCCCCTGGATACCTTCTCTCTTTCTCCACCTGAAACTGACAAAAACTTACCTTCTAGGGATTTGCCCGAGTTCAAATGTCAATAGCCTTGGATTCAGACTTGGATCCCCTACCTGTGGTCGAATACTGCAGTTAACAGGCCAAGAATTTTTGTAAGAGGTTTTTATTTAATGGAAAAAATAGAAAGCATGAAGGTTATCAGATCAATTCAAGTCAGTTACAGTCCCACCCAAACCTGTGTAGCATTCCATTCTGTTACCACAGCTCATGGGCTTGCTTGCTACAGCGGCTGTGTTGTTTTGCCAATAAATGTCAACAGAAAATAGAAAAATAATGGAAGTACTGAAGAGAAGGAATTTTTCCATTTCTCCTAATGAAACTGCTTTCTCCAGAAAAGAAGATTGCTGTCTCTGTGTACTTTGCCACTGCTGAGAGGGTAGGCAGCAATTGCTAAGAACCAGTTATCAGCAATTCAAGTGCACATAAAGTATAGAATAAGAAAAGCTGTTTGTCTTAAGTACACTTTGAGAGCTCTGATCATCCAGAAACACTACACCACCCATGACCACTGTGAAGGGCTCTGAGACATAATCCTATATGAAGGGTGATAAACGTAAATTGTTGTTAGGAAGGCTAATGCCATGTTGGCGTTCGTTGCAAATAATAATAATCCTTGCATTTGATATAGCGCTTTTCACGTCGGGAGGACGTCCCAAAGCGCTTCACAGAACAGACTGTAAAGTGAATTGACTATATATTTGTGGGTGAACGCGGCAGCCAATTGTGCACAGCAATGTCCCACAAACAGTCGTAGATTGAAAATGACCAATTTATTATTGTTTTTGGAGGGATTATTATTAGGCGTGTGGAGTAAGGAAACTTGCCCAAGGTTCCGCCCTGCCTGGAATTGAACTCAGGTCTCTCACTTGCAAAGCGAGTGCTCTAACCACTGAGCTACAGGACTCCGAATATAGAAGGGTTAGAGTACAAGAGTAGGGAAGTCTGGCTGCAGTTGTATAGGGCCTTGGTGAGACCACACCTAAAATATTGTGTGCAGTTTTGGTCTTCTTATTTAAGAAAGGACATATTCGCCTTAGAGGGGGTGAATCATAGATTCACTAGGTTGGTTCCTGGGATGAGGGGGTTGACCTATGAGGATAGGTTGAGTAAACTAGGCCTATATTCTCCAGAATATAGAAGAATTAGAGATGATCTTATAGAAACCTATAAGATTCTTAAGGGTCTTGACAGGGTGGATTCTGTGAGACAGTTTCCCCTGGTTGGAGAATCTAAAACTAGGGGTCACAGTCTCAAGATTAGGGTCAGCCTTTTTGAACCGAGTTGAGGAAACATTTCTTCACTCAGAGGGTAGTGAATTTGTGGAATTCTCTACCCCAGAAGACTGTGGATCCTCAGTCCTTGAACATATTCAAGACCGAGGTTGATACATTTCTAAAGGATAGAGGGATTAAGAAATATGGGGATAGGGCGGGTAAATGGAATTAGGTTAGAAGATCAGCCATGATCTTATTAAATGGCGGGGCAGGCTCGAGGGGCCGAATGGCCTACTCCTGCATCTTATGGTTGTCTACTTGGAGGTTTTGCCTCAGGTTATTTGCCACTCTTTCCAGATAGCATTTAGATACTTGTGAAAAGCTGTTTGAATGATGGGGGCCACCCCTCCAGAGAGATAACATGAATACATTTACAACATTTCATAACAGATTTCACCCAAATCTATTATGAAAAGTTATCCATTTCACCCTGAGATGTGAACTGAGCTAATGCCTCTTGAGCCAGTGGGCACTGTTAGCCTTTCTCCAGTTAGATATGGGGATACCCACCATTGAGCTTAATAATAAAACTTGCATTTGATATAGTGCCTTATTACATTGCTGAGAAATCTCAAAGTCCTTCATAGAATATACGGTGAAGTGAATTCACTGAATATTTTTGTGGGCGAAATGCGGCAGTGTCCCACTGTCATGGATTTTTTTAAAGTGTTTATTACCCATGGAAAGTGATCCGCCTATTGACTAACAACCGGGTTCCTACTTACTGCTAGGTAAACAGAGGCGTGTGGAGTAAGGAAACTTGCCTAAGCTTTTGCATTGAACTCGGTAATGAGTGCCTCAAGAGACAGAATTCTTGCATGACCTATCTTGCAGTGCATATCAGTGCATACTCCAGCATATTAATGTTCTTTTGAATGCAGGACACACAAAACTGCAGATAATATTTAAATATAACTTTACCGACTAGCTAATTCAAATTCATGGAAAATCAAGTTTTAACTTGGACTTAGTATCTCTGCTTTGTTGATAACAACCTCACATTGAACAAAGATGGTCAATAATCAAACCCAAATCTTATTCCTTTTTCCAGCTTTGGATACCAGTCCATAGGTCTGTACACATTTCCTGTACATCAATTGCTCAGTCGCCCTCTTCACAAGAATCCAGGATACATATCCGGCAAGCCATGAAAGAGACAAAATATATTTTTAAAAGAAATGTATTAAAATGCAATTGCCTGTGTAAGCTGCTAGAATTCATTTGAGTAGCGATGCAACTAAAAAAAACAGAAGAGATGCTTTGGGGTCATAAATGCAACATTTGCAAACTAGCTGGAGCTAGGCTCATCGTAACTTCTGGTTGCTCCTAAAATCGCACAATTCACCACTAGATTCTCTCTATATTTAGCGTGTCCAGTTGCGTTTTTTCCCCAGTTTTTCTCCTCATTGACATATGCCTCTCAACTCTTGCTCCTCCTTTAGGTTTGATGTGGTTCCACTGCACTAGTTGTCCTCTGGTATCCCACCAGGTGGCCAAGATTCACGCATCAGCAAT